CAGGGGTCCCGGGGTTCCTGGGTGGTGGTGGGTTCCTGCCAGGGGCTGGCCAGTCACTGTCCCCAGGCCATGTGGGGCCAAGGACCCTGCTTAGGGCAGCAGGGGGTCCCCGAGCACGTCGCCCTCCTCTCTGCCCTGCTCATGCTCTCTCTGTCTCTCTGTCTGTCTCTGTCTCTCTCTCGCAGCTGCCGGCGTCATTTTTGTGATTTGCAGCTAGTAATCTGGCTCCAGTTGCATAGTCACAAAAGTGATCGTTGGCAGCCGTGCCTGCTGCATGGAGCATGCCGGGAGCCCCGCCGGCGCCTGGCCCCCAGCTTCGTGCCCCACCGGACCAGAGCTGCTCCCTTGAGTGTCCTGCCACTGCTCCCCTCCCCGGGCTGGGCACCCGAGGAGCCGGGCTCCTCTCCTGGCCCCTTTCTACCCATGGTCCCCCATCCCATGCCCAGCACCGCTGGGGAGGCAGGAGGAGCCATGTGCCAGACCCCCAGGGCCACATCACGGGGTGCCCACTGCCCCCACCCCCGGCTCGGCACAGCGAGGGGCACCTATCGCAGCCTTGTCCCCGGCATGGCAGGGCACTGACCTGCTCCCTCTTGTCCTTGCAGGAAGGTGAACAAGTGCTACCGGGGTCGCTCCTGCCCTATTATCGTGCACTGCAGGTACCGCCGGGGATGGAGGTGGGGTACGGGCTAGGGGGTGGCTGCAAGGCTGGGACCTGCTGGCCAGGACCAGTCCCTGGAGCCTGTCCCCCTGGTCCAAGCGTCTGTGTCTTGCAGTGACGGTGCAGGCAGGACCGGGACATATATCCTCGTTGACATGGTCCTGAACCGAATGGCCAAAGGTAGGTGCAGAGCAGCACCACTTCTGCCCTGTCCGGGGGGTACGGGGCCATCTGCTCTGCCCGTGGACCCCCTCCTAGCGCCCTTCTCCCCCTCTGCCCCAGGGGTGAAGGAGATAGACATAGCTGCTACGCTGGAGCACATCCGAGATCAGCGGCCTGGCATGGTGCAGACCAAGGTACCCCCCCAAACTGGGGATCCCTTCCCTCCCTGAGCACTCACAGCCCCTGGGGCTGGGCTGATGGGGACCCTCATGCCGCCTTCCTCTGCTCCCTCAGGACCAGTTTGAGTTCGCGCTGACAGCTGTGGCCGAGGAAGTGAATGCCATCCTGAAGGCGCTGCCGCAGTGATGGCGAGGAGCCCTCCCCTCTCGTGTTCCCCCATGCCCCTCTGGCTTCGCGTGCTCTCCTTGCCCTGCCCGTGGGGCTGCTCTCCCTGTAAAACGCTGTCTGTGCTGCTGGCTGTTTTTGCCCCCCAGCCCCCCCTGCCCCTCTCCCCAGGGACACAGGGCTCAGCCCCTCTGCGTGCAGGGCATGGAACCCCATCACACCCGCTGCCACCGTAGAGGGGACTGGGCTAGTGTCCCCTATCCCCTGTGGAGGAGGAGACCAGGTGCTGCTGCTGGGAGTTGGCTGTGGAGCCCCCCCAGCACCCTGGTGCAGCTCTCCTGCACCCCACCCTGGCGGTCCTGTGCCAGCTCCCTTCCTGTGCCCATGTGGGGGGCAGGAGTGGGCAGGGGTCCCCTACAGTTGGGGGCAGCACTGGGTGCAGGGGGGCCTGGCCCAGCCCCAGGTCCCCTCCGTGTGCTCCCCGCCTCGTCACTCGAGCAGAAGAGACATTTCTAGAGAAATATAATTTTGTATCTTGATGTGAATAAAGTTCTCGTGTCGCATTTGTGCAGCTGCAGCCAGGCCTGGCCTCTGACTGTGTGAGTATATGGGGGGACATAAGGACTCCCCCACACCCTCCCCGCTCCTGCAGGAGCACAGCCACCACCCCACAACCACCAGACAAGTGCAGCTGGGACTGGGCCCCCCTACCTGCAGGCAAGGATGGGGAGGGACCCTGCAGCCCCCAGCCCAGAGACACCCCCCAGGCAGCAGCTACTGCAAACAGGTTTATTGATGGTTGTCAGCAGAAGGGGGTCAGGGAGGGGGGGTGCAGCAAGGAGGGGGGCAGAGCCCAGCCCCACTGGCTGAGCCCAGCCATGCTGCCCCTCGCTGCCTGCTGCCAGCACCCCCCAGCAGCCTAATCTACAGCAA